AAGTTCCAACGTTATTTAAAAACCTTAAGAAAATCCTAAAGTATTTTATTTGAATTGAAAATTCAGTAAAAATCAGTACAAATTTAAAAAAATCAGGGCATTAGCGTACTGATTGAAGAAACAACAAAATCAGCTCAAGAGTTGAAAAATCAGTACTGTACTGATAAAATCAGTACGTCTGGCAACCGTAACTATAATACAATTAGTTTCTTCTTAATTTTTACAGTACACTTTAAGGAAGCTCCAACGTTATTTCAAAACCTTAAGAAAATCCTAAAGTATTTTATTTGAATTGAAAATTCAGTACAAATCAATACAAAATTTAAAAAAATCAGGACATTAGCGTACTGATTGAAGAAATGAATAAAATCAGTTCAAGAGTTGAAAAACCAGTACGTCTGGCAACCGTAATAAAGCCAATCAGATCGGTCTGTACCCAATGTAAATGGCGAGATAAAATTAAAACTGAGTTGTCAAACACGAAACGACAGCTGATGTTAAGTTAGCGATGGTGAGAAATTCGGCAAGACAGATTTAACAGGATTAACAGTGGAAATTTGCGGTATCCACCTGACATTTCTGTCTTAAAATAGCTTTTTTAACAGAATCTGTAGAAGGTGGAGACATGGGGTTACGCATATTCCAAAAAATCACCGTATACTTAATGTTGTGAGCAGTGTTGCCGCGAATTATTTTTAGTGGTAGCCAAATCCCTTTAAAAAAAGGGCTAAAAAAGTCGTTGTGGCTAAAAATGGTAGCTAAAATTTTTTACTTACATATACATATATAAGTATACACGTAAACATTTTCAATAAGTAAAAGCGAAGATACACAACATGCGTTCGCCGGCAAATGCGTCACGCCGTCAATGTCAGATAAAATTGAACACGTGTGGATATGCTTATCAGCTGTTTTTTGTTAACAAAACAATGAGCGGCACAACGCAAGGTGTGTAACAGCAAATTTTTCAACGTCGTCAACGCACCAACGGATCAACGCAACGCCGCAGCAAATAAAATGATGTACCTTCAGCTTAATGGTATACCTAAAACCTTTTTGTATAAAATAGGACACCAGCTTGCTGGCTCCATCAAGTGATTGTAATATCAGGCTCGAAGCATATAACTTACCAGCATGCTGGTACAATATTTATTTCTTTACAAATGAAGATCGAAATAATTAGAGCCGAAATTTCATAATTTTTCTACCATTTTGTTAGACATTGTTTTTTTTTTTTAATTCACAACGGCAATATCGTGAACTTAATCTTCCACAAACACGGCTTTGACTCATTTAGTGAAGAAATTTCCGTCACAATAATTTTCACTTAGAAAATTGAGCTAATTGCACCACACCAGCATGCTGGTACAATCATAAAATTTTCAAATAATTTTTGAAGTCGCACCAGCGGCTGGTACAATCACACCACAAGAACATACACGGTCAATCGACTTGATGGGCCATTTAACAATAACTTAACTTAACTTATCTATTTTAAACTATAGTTAAATCGTTAATAAATAAGTTAACAGCCCTAACAGTTTTACAGTATGTATGTATAAAAACGTAAGGAACATACAATATATATAAATATCAGTCTTCCGTAGTTTAAAAATTCATCTCTTACATAAATGAAAAAAAATTAGATCAAATTAAGCATATACAACTTTTTCATGCCAAATAGGAAGAAATTCTCCAAAGGGCTAAAAAAGGGCTAGGGGCAATTTTAAATTTATGTGGCCAAAAAAAGTATGTAGTAGATAAATCTAGCCGCCAAAGGGCTAAAACGGCCACACTGGTTGTGAGTGACTGTATATATGTAAGTATACATATGTATATAAACAGACTCTGACAGCTTAACAGTTTGACACAATACAGAAACAAAACGGCTGACCTAGCCCAACTAACAAACTCTCCAGAACAAAACTCTTACAAATTACGAAAAGATCTCATAAGACTCTTTTAACATACTTGGATAACCGCATAATATAATTCTTGTAAAAAGACTTAAATTAGGTCTCATAGTACTATTTTTATGAGATGATAATGCTACTAGAGTTAGTAAGCCTTTAAATCTCATAATAAGACCATCTTGAACCTTTTTTTATAAAACTTCAACTCTGATTTATACTCCTAAAAAAATGCCCATATGAGTAGTTAATTGTTATGATACTTATAAGAAAACTCTTGTAATATGTAAAGTATAAAAGCACTTATAAATATGCCCTTATGAGACGTAGAATGGTAAAACACGTATAAGAAAACTGTTACGAGTACAATAGAATCATTGCTCTCATTAAAACTACAACAGAGGTTCACTTATATCAAGAAAAACATTCTGTCAGCCAACATACCTTGTTTTAGTGTTAATATGTCAAAATAGATAAGTTTAATTGGAAAAAAGTTAAAAGATCCACTAATTTGCGAGGGAAAATTCAGAAGATTTATCTTAAACTAAAATATAACACGTCCAAGAGTGTTGCAGCCAATAAAAGAGTTACTGCGAATTTTAAACAATATTCTAAAAATAATAGATAATGTACATCAAAAATCTATTCGTCCAGAATATAACAGCTTTAATCCTATTCAGAACGACTCGAATGAAGGTCACGATGCAGAAATTTCTGTTGATTATATAATAGCACCATGGCATGTAAGTCCTCTTCAGCAGCTTCTAAAATTCTCCCTTTTTTTGGTGCAAGGCTGGGTAGTCCAATTTGCCTCTGGCTTTGAATTCGCATCTCTCAGCAATTTTTGAATTGAGGAGACTTTTTTAGTATTTGGACAATATAGAGTTCCCACATTCTCCCAATTGTAAGCACAGCGGTAAGGCATATTTCCCCATGTTCAATAGTTTGCACAATTTTAGATGACATTCTGAAAAATTATATAGTTAATTCACTGCAAAACTTCGGAATAACATCTAAATATATCTTTACCTTACTGCAAAGTATTAATTCTTAATTAATACAAACAATATTATTTGCATGCTAGCTCTTTCGATATACGCGCACACTACCGAATGACAAATGTGAAATGGAGTATGAAACACTCAAAAACAAGGCTCCATTTTCATTGTGAGATTTATAATTTCGTAACAGGGGTTAAATGTCTCATATGAAATCTTTAGTACTCATAAGGAGAGTAATAAAGAGTTTAACACTCATGAAAAGAATTAAAGCTTCATACAAAGATATTTGTTTTCATAAAAAGAATAATACTCTCATATGGGTAAGAAAAAGTGTACAACTCTTGTAACGAAACTTAGCCTTCTCATAACCAGAATTTGATCTTCATAAGAAAGTCAGCGACCACATTTTCCTTANGTAAAACACGTATAAGAAAACTGTTACGAGTACAATAGAATCATTGCTCTCATTAAAACTACAACAGAGGTTCACTTATATCAAGAAAAACATTCTGTCAGCCAACATACCTTGTTTTAGTGTTAATATGTCAAAATAGATAAGTTTAATTGGAAAAAAGTTAAAAGATCCACTAATTTGCGAGGGAAAATTCAGAAGATTTATCTTAAACTAAAATATAACACGTCCAAGAGTGTTGCAGCCAATAAAAGAGTTACTGCGAATTTTAAACAATATTCTAAAAATAATAGATAATGTACATCAAAAATCTATTCGTCCAGAATATAACAGCTTTAATCCTATTCAGAACGACTCGAATGAAGGTCACGATGCAGAAATTTCTGTTGATTATATAATAGCACCATGGCATGTAAGTCCTCTTCAGCAGCTTCTAAAATTCTCCCTTTTTTTGGTGCAAGGCTGGGTAGTCCAATTTGCCTCTGGCTTTGAATTCGCATCTCTCAGCAATTTTTGAATTGAGGAGACTTTTTTAGTATTTGGACAATATAGAGTTCCCACATTCTCCCAATTGTAAGCACAGCGGTAAGGCATATTTCCCCATGTTCAATAGTTTGCACAATTTTAGATGACATTCTGAAAAATTATATAGTTAATTCACTGCAAAACTTCGGAATAACATCTAAATATATCTTTACCTTACTGCAAAGTATTAATTCTTAATTAATACAAACAATATTATTTGCATGCTAGCTCTTTCGATATACGCGCACACTACCGAATGACAAATGTGAAATGGAGTATGAAACACTCAAAAACAAGGCTCCATTTTCATTGTGAGATTTATAATTTCGTAACAGGGGTTAAATGTCTCATATGAAATCTTTAGTACTCATAAGGAGAGTAATAAAGAGTTTAACACTCATGAAAAGAATTAAAGCTTCATACAAAGATATTTGTTTTCATAAAAAGAATAATACTCTCATATGGGTAAGAAAAAGTGTACAACTCTTGTAACGAAACTTAGCCTTCTCATAACCAGAATTTGATCTTCATAAGAAAGTCAGCGACCACATTTTCCTTATTCTGAAGGTTTTATAGTAAAACGAAATTCCAAAAATGTAGCTAACTTACGCAGTTTAGTAAGTAAAAAATATAAAAAATTACGCTTTTTAGGTAATAAGTGCTGATACATGAATTTGAATTCATATTAAGTAACAATTTACAAAATAATCAAAATTTTGATTATTTTTGAGGCGCTTTGCTTTTTTTCGAAGTAAAATGTTCATTATTATCAATAAAATTTCAATCCCCTTAAAGTCTTAGCTTATAATTTCAAAAATTGACTTCTAAAAGTCTATAATGCTTATATTAAACTAGTCTACTTTAATTTCCATTTTCCAAATTTGTTTAAACTGGCAATGAGGTATCTCTGCGAACCATCGGGCCGGATAGTCGGATAACAGAAAAACGTCCGGATAAGCCGGATTCCGGATATCTACCGGATATACGGCACATCCCTTTTTTATATACATACATATATATATGTATCTATATATATATATATATATATATATATATATATATATGACTCAGGCTACGGCCATGCATATGTACATATCTACGCATATATATATTTTCTTACCCCAAATACTTATGATTTAGAGAAATACTCACACAGTAGGTGAACTTGCGAGCCAAGTACCAATCCAAAGGTTATCAAAGACATAAGTCGCAGATGGCAGAAGCTTGATGACTGCCTCATTCTTTTCACTTCCCTTCGGTGCGCTGTATGAAGACGATTCCAACGTCAATACTTTTCTTTGCATTTTATGTCCTGGATTTTGTTGGTAAAACTGCTTGCGCTGCTTTCATCGTTTCTTCATTTTTTACGCTCCACAATGTTTATGCAATTTCTACCTACATCTCATTTCAATTGACGTAATTTTTTTTTAATAACCTTTATGTTCACTTTAAATGTGTGCATATATGTAGGTCTTTTACAGTATTTATAAATATACATTACATTACCGAAAGAAATAATAAATGTTCACAAGTTAGATATTCGGTAAAGTGGCGCTTCTTCAAATTTGCACATTATTATACTAAAATAATGGGATATAAAACATGTTATTTGCAAAGCCTTTTATTTTTGCCAAAAAATTATTTGCTTTTTTAACTGCTATAATCTGACTGAAACATTAGGTAATTTGTTAACAGTTCAGGGGCCTATTTCATATAGTGGAACCCGGTTTCAGTTCCATGAAAAATTCCATTAAGAAGTGACAAAAATGTCGTTGTCGGGTTTTAAAATTGTCGTTGACAAAATTGCCGCCAGTCATATGAAATTTGTATCTAATTCATATATGTATAATAACTGTTTTTGCATTATTTTAGTTTTTACAAATCATTGAAAAGTATTGAAATGCGTACAAAATTCTCCTGTGATAACTTACTGACGAAGCTATTTAAAGCTCAGTTAGTCTAGACTTAATTTCCGTAACTTAATATTTTAGCCAACCTGTTGTATGAAAAACTGTATTGGCGGTTAGTTAAAACTTAACTTAACGTAAGCAACTTAAGAACTTGTAGATTTTCGATTCTTAAGTTACGGCCTTACGGAAATTGATAGCGGTGAGAGAATCAGGCTTTCCAGATTTTTGTTTTTGTATTTCTCAAAATTAAATGTGCGCAAACATATTTTTTGCATTAATTTTTTTGATGTGCCATGTTAGACGGCAAACTGTCAAAGAGCTAAAAGAGAAAATACAAAAACAAAATATTTCCGCTTCTGGCTTAAGTTGACGTGTTGAGTAATCATTGATAATTTCTTACGGTAAGTTAAATTAAGTTAAGTGTAGACTAACTGAGCTTTTAGTTTTGTCGCTGTTGTCGTGACAATTTTGTCAGAGTGACAATTGTCGCCAATATTCCAATATTGTCACTGTCGCTTTCCAAAAATTGTCACAGTTGCCTACAGGCGTCTATGAAACAGGAAAAAATTCGCCGACAATTCGACAAAAGTCAACAATTTTCACACCTGTCACTTTTATGAAATAGGCCCCAGATAGTACTTAAAAAATATCTTACTAATATTATAAATGAGAAAGTTTGTATGTTTGGGAAATCATCACACGGAAACGACTGAACGGATTTGCATGAAATTTTGTACGCAGATAGCTTATGGACCAGATTGGTTAATAGGCTGTTTTTTTTTAAGAGTTGCCACCTGTTAAAAGAGTTAATTTATTTAATATGCGGGAACGACTGCACGGATTTGCATGAAAATTTGCAGACAGATAGCTTATGACCTAGATTGGAAAATAGGCTACTTTCTTAAGAGTTTCCACCTGTTAACAAAGTTTAATTAAATTATTACGCGGAAACGACTGCACGGATTTGCATGAAATTTTTCGCACGGATAGCCAATCATCTAGGTTGAAAAATAGGCTACTTTGTTAAGAGTTGCCACCTGTTAAAAAGTTTAATTAAATTAATACGTGGAAACGACTGAACGGATTTGCATAAAATTTTGCACAGAGATAGCCTATGACCTACGTTGGAAAAGAGGCTACTATTTAAAGAGTTGCCACCTATTATAAAAGGGTAATTAAATTAATACGCGGAAAGACTCAACTGATTTGCATGCAATTTTGCACACGGATAGCTTATGATCTAGGTTGGAAAATAGGCTACTTTTTTTAAGAGTTGCCACCTGTAAGAAATGTTTAATTTAATTAATACGCGGAAATGACTGAACTGATTTACATGAAAGTTTGCACACAGATAGCCTATGATCTAGATTGGAAAATAGGCTACTCTCTTAAGAGTTGCCACCTGTTAAAAAAGTTTAATTAAATTAATACGCGGAAAGACTCAACTCATTTGCATGCAATTTTGCACACGGATAGCTTATGATCTAGGTTGGAAAATAGGCTACTTTTTTTAAGAGTTGCCACCTGTAAGAAATGTTTAATTTAATTAATACGCGGAAATGGGTGAACTGATTTGCATGAAAGCCTGCACACAGATAGCCTATGATCTAGATTAGAAAATAGGCTACTTTCTTAAGAGTTGCCACCTATTATAAAAGTTTAATTAAATCAATACGCGGAAATGGCTGAACTGATTTGCATGGAAGTTTTCACACAGACAGCTTATGATCTAGGTTGGAAAATAGGCTAGTTTTTTAAAGAGTTGCCACCTGCTAACAAAGTTTAATTAAATTAATACGCGGAAACGTCTGAACGGATTTGCATGAAATTTTGCAAGCAAATAGCTTATGACCTATAGTTACGGTGGCCATATTAACCAATGTAAAATAAAGGACATTTTTTTTAAATTATTCGGGAATACGTACATATAACTTGTATGATAAAATTACCTTACCCATATCGTAATTTGAATCAAATATTTACCAGTTAATTAACCTATTCCGAAAAATTAAGCCAAATCCTTTTCAAGGACTCCGTCATCCTTTGCTGCCAAAATGCATTTACCATAATTCATACTGCACACCGAATTCAGCACGCAGTGGTTCGAAATTGGGATTTAATGTTCATAATTCACCGCAGTCTTAATTTTTTAATAAATTTTTACTAAAAAGCAAAAAAAAATGTATTTTTGTGAACCTTTTTTTATTTTACTATATTTTATTTTATTACATTTCAAACATTTTTTGTAATTTTTTCGTTTTGGGGAACCATACAATTGTTTTTAACTAGTCTTTGTTATGTAAGTGGAACAGGAGAATACATTTTCTTCTAAATTGCCACTTTTTCTGCATTTGGCACTAAAAAAATTAATATAATCAAATAAAAATTCACAAATCAGGCTCAACTGGTCTCGTGCAAAGCTGTAATAAAAAAAATTATCAAATTAAGTGAAAAAATGAACGCTCCAGTGAATTACGAACACTAAATGCCAGTTTAGAACCACTGTGCAGCAGGGGGTTTATTGTTCTCTTTCAGTGGAACTGGAAACTTTCTCCCCTGTGCTTTATAGATTGTGCAAAGATTACCGATTAAATAGAAACCGNGTGCAAAGCTGTAATAAAAAAAATTATCAAATTAAGTGAAAAAATGAACGCTCCAGTGAATTACGAACACTAAATGCCAGTTTAGAACCACTGTGCAGCAGGGGGTTTATTGTTCTCTTTCAGTGGAACTGGAAACTTTCTCCCTGTGCTTTATAGATTGTGCAAAGATTACCGATTAAATAGAAACCGTTAAGTGGGGTGCGAAACAAACTGGCGAAGGTTTTCATTATATTTTATAAGGAACATTTTTATTTTTCATATTCTGTGTTTAAAAATTTACCTCTGAAAAATGCAGAGCTGATCTAAAGGACCGTTTAAGAAATAAAGGACAAAAGGCGTCCTTTATTTTGAAAAAAATTATAAAGGGCAGGGGGTTAAAATAAAGGACTGTCCTTTAAAATAAAGGACGGATGGTCACCGTACCCATACGGTATATCTACGGTGACCATATTAACCAAAGTAAAATAAAGGACATTTTTTTTATGATTTGGGAATACGTACATACAACTTGTATGATAATAGTACCTTACCAATATCGTAATTTAAATCACCAGTTAATTATATTATTTAATTGTACAAGTTCCTCTGCTGTAGCGAAAAATTAAATAAATTAAAAATTAATTTATTAATAATTAACCAGTTAATTATATTATTTAATTGTACAAGTTCCCCTGCTGTAGCGAAAAATTAAGCCAAATCCTTTCCAAGGACTTCGCATCCTTTGCTAGCAAAATGCGTTTTCCATAATTCATACTGCACGACGAAGCCAGCACGCAGTAGTTCAAAATTGGAATTTAATGTTCATAATTCACCGGAGCCTTCATTTTTCAACTAATTTTTACTAAAAACCGAGAAAAATATTTATTTTGGTGCACATTTTTTATAACATTTCAAATTAATTTTTGGGTATTTTTTTCGTTTTGTTAGAACTATATAGAAATAAAATAAATGAAAAAAAATGAAAAATTAAGGCTCCAGTGAACTACGAACACTAAATGCCAGTTTTGAACCACTGTGCAGCAGAGGGTCTATTGTTCTCTTTGAGTGGAACTGGAAACTCAGCGTGCAACACGCTCTTGGGCACAACTTTCCCTGTGCTTTATAGATTGTACAAAGATTACCGATTAAATAGAAACACTTAAGTTGGGTGCGAAACAAACTGGCGAAGGTTTTCACTATATTTTATAAGGGACATTTTTATTTTTCATATTCTATGTTTAAAAATTTACCTCTGAAAAATGCAGAGCTGATTTAAAAGACAGTTTAAGAAATAAAGGACAAAAGGCGTCCTTTATATTGAAAAAAATTATATAGGACAGGGGGTTAAAATAAAGGACTGTCCTTTGAAATAAAGGACGGATGGTCACCGTACCTATAGTGGAAAAAAGGCTAATTTTTTGGAAGAGTTGCGACCTGTTAAAAAAAGTTTAATTAAATTAATACGCGGAAACGACTGAACAGATTTGCATGAAATTTCGCACAGAGATAGCTTATGACCTACGTTGGAAAATAGGCTACCATTTTAAGAGTTGACACTTATTAGAAAAGTTTAATTATATTAATACGCGAAAATGACTGAACTGTGAATGTTTGTATGTTTGGATGTTTGGGAAATCATCACACGGAAACGACTGAACGGATTTGCATTAAATTTTGTACGCAGATAGCTTCTGATCTAGATTGGAAAATAGGCTGCTTTGATAAGAGTTGCCACCTGTTAAAAAAGTTTAACTAAATTGATACGCGGAAACGACTGAACAAATTTGCATGAAGTTTTACACACAGATAGCCTATGACCTACGTTGGAAAAGAGGATACTATTTTAAGAGTTGCCACCTATTATAAAAGTTTAATTAAATTAATACGCGGAAATGACTGAACTGATTTGCATGAAAGTTTGCACACAGATAGCTTATGATCTAGATTGGAAAATAGGCTAATTTTCTTAAGAGTTGCCACCTGTTAAAAAAGTTTAATTAAATTAATACGCGCAAACGACTGAACGGATTTGCGTGAAATCTTGCACGCGGATAGCTTATGATCTAGGTTGGAAAATAGGCTACTTTT